AGAGTCCTTTTCTCTTGTTGAAGTTTCTACTCCTCCTTTTGTTCTCTTTAATCATTTTAAACACACTTATTTTATAGTCTTTTTTTTTTTTTCTTTCTTTCTGGTTGTTCCCTCATCTCCTGTTCTTTAAGGGTAATTCTCATATGCCTTATTCATCCCCAGTTCCCTGGAACTATGGGTAAAGCACTGGGCCACCAGTTTTTATCTGCATTGTTTTCATCATCTCTCAGAATTGCATACATTGTAATTTCTACTGTGATTTCCTCTTTAAACTCAAGAGGTCTATAGAAGATTATTCTTCAGCCTCCAACGTAGGGGGACTTGGGTAATTCTATCTTTTCAGTGATGATTTCTAATTAAATTTCATTGCAATTAAAGAATATAGTGTGTATGATACAGATTCATTAAAATGTGTTGAGATTTCAATTGTGAACTTTTATACCATCAGTTTCCATGAGTATTCTATATGTACTAAAAAGTGCATCCTCATATATAGATAAATTAGATGAAATCGGCAATTCTATAATAACACTAAAACCACATTATACTCAACAAAGATAAAAATATAAACAATTAGATGTGTGCAGTGACCCTAATTTATAAACGTTTCCCTTATATTCTATAACTTCAGAAAACCCTCTCAGCAGAGTTCAAAGCTAAAACAATCCAAAAAATGGACTCTCATCTAGTTAATTACTTGTGAAAAAAAATTAGTCACACCATATATTATAACTTTATAATTCAGTACTATAGTTTAGAAAAAAGGAATGGCCAGCAGACTGTCTGAATTAACATGTTAAAATGATGAATATATGTGGTTCCATGAAAGTCAACTGGGATCTTCCCACTGAATTCTAAAGAAGGAATAAAAAAAAATTCTTTGGTGAAACCAGAACTTACCATCACTTATAATGATGTTAATACCAGAGGCATATATTAACTTGGTAATATGACTGATCATCTTTCAGCAAGAAAATAGAGCTGGAATGTATTTTAGGGGTTTTAACTTCTTATTGATGATGTTAGCATTTGTGTCCACTTGCTGAAGAGTACTCCAAATTTAAATACCCAAACTGTTCTTTTTTATGTATACAAGAGTTTTATTGAAGAAAAAAAAAAATTAACAGCTGCCTTTTGCTTCACATTCCACTTTCAAGACAGATAGTTGGACTGAATAAATTTAAAATAAAATTGAATGATCAAAGGAGAAAAAACATCCTTTTCTGGCTTGGAATAGCTCAATCTGTCATTAAAATTTTTAAAAAGGAATGAATTAACACTTTTAAAAAACAGGTTAATGGAATTGGAGATTTGTCTTCCTGCTTAATGTTGCTCCCTCCCCTCTAGTCCTCTTGCCAGAAGGATTTTAAATGCAATTCCCCTGAAAGCTACAGATTAATAGACTAATGAGTGGTTTCCATTCTTGTTCCTGGGCTAATTCTATTCAGTCCGTATCTAGAAAAATCTTTTTTGTTTGTTTGTTTGTTTCTGTTGCTTCTGCATAATTTCCTGACATAAAAAATAAAAAAAATAAAAAAATCAAGTGGCATGGTAACTAGAAAAGATGATCAAGTTGGGTTAATTTCTGCGGCAATTTCCCACGTACCCTTTTCTGCTTTCAAGATTCAAAACTCAAATAAAAATGCTCCTTCACATTTCTAATGGAAAAAATTGAGTGATTATTCCTGAAGTTCGTGCTAAGCCAAATGAACTCATTACTGTGTTATGGGACAGTTTAATGCCCTTTGATCAATACATTAGCTCTGCATACACAAACATGCTAGAGTCATATCACAATGTAAGCAAACCTGACTTGGCCTGTGCTAATAGGTCCTAAGACATAAAAGGTGTCAAAATAGTAGGGTATTTGAAGAAAAGGCACATATTTTTAATATTCCCCAGAAACCTGGCACTCTCAACTCTTCTCTACATATGGAAAATCCCCTAAATGCAAAGAAATCTTAAAAATGTATTCTTATTCTTTTATGGAGTTAGTTAAAAATTAATGAACAAGAAATTAAAGAGAAGCTGCTGTAATAAAGTTAGAATATTCTAACTGAAAAACAATTACATTATTGTTTTATACTTATACTCCCATAGATTATAAACATTTTTCAAGGGATATTTTGCAATACAATTTTTTAAAACAGTGTTTTCTTCTTACTCTCGAGACTTACACTCTGCAGGCTTATTTTACATTAAAATACATTAATTAGAATAAGAGCTGCACTTTCTCAGTACAACTCTGTGATTTAAAGCAATATACGGTATATTGAATGCTTAGATTTTTCTTCAAACATACTATAAGCTTTATCTTTCAACTAAGGGGATTAGTTTTCAACTAGATGTAACAGACAGAAAGTTGTGTTGAAATGGTCATATTTTTTAATTCTGGGCATGTAGCCAGTCAAATTTCTGAGAAATGCAGTTCTTTGTACAGAACTGGAAAAACACCAACAGTTTGTAAATATGTTCACTGCTTTTCTACTGTTTTCACTTTCTCTCAGAATTATATTCCCATTTCACCTAAGTTCAATTAGCTTAATTTTTATCCTGGAGGCAGAATTTTTTTCTTTTTAAAGGAAAAAAATTGCCTTTCTAGGTTTAGATATTTAATTATTAAATTAAATTTAGATATGCAATTATTTAATGATTAAACAAGAGCTCTAACTCTAAGAGACAACTTTCGGGCTTTCGCTAAGAAAAACCCCTTCTGTAGCAAACGGGCTGAAACTTGACAAACTTGAACTGTGTGGATGTGACTCGGGTCTGGGTTCCACGGGGAGAAAGATCAGACATTCCTCAGCTGCCTGCACCAGCTTCCTTCCCGGGGGCACAGTTGCAGGCCCTACAAGCTCAATCACTTTGTACGGCAACTGGGAGCCCAGGCGGGGGCCACGGGACCCCAGAGCAGCTTAGGTTCCTCCCAGTACCTCAGCAGGAAATAAGACTAAAGAGTAACCAGTTCATATGGCCCCAGGCCAAAAAAAAATGGGGGTGGGGGGGAGAAGAACATCTGTAGTGAGAGAAAATACAAGATGCTTCATATTTTTAAGATTTTAAGCTACTTCCAGGAGGTTTTCACTGGGCCTTTATTACAATGAATATTTGATCTTTATTCTTTACCAATATTTTATTTGGGAGGGTGAGGAGAGAATGATCAAGATGAAGAAACACAACTTAATTGACAGCTAATCAACAACTGTGATGTGACCGTCCATTGTAGGGTTTTAAAGGAGTGAAATGTACACGACAATAATATATTTAAAGAGATTATACTCTTCCATTTGACATCAGTATACATGCTCACAAGCTCTTAAGAACATTTTTAAACTAAAATAATTGTATTGATGATATGGCGTGATAAAAGCAAGCAGAGAATATTCTTCCCTATTTGAGGATGACTAATGCTGTGGCAGATGTAATTTCCTTAGGATAAATCACAAAGGTGGAGCTATAAACTCAGAGCTCATTAAAATTAACAAAAATATACAGGTTGTTATTTTCCAATAATTTTCTTCTAGGGCAGTGAAAGACAATATGCAGACATATATTTTGAGTAGTTTTTATAATATCTTGAATGTATAATACCATTAAAATCACTAATTCTTGCCCGACTTGCATGGCTAAGTGGTTGAGTGTTGACCTATGAACCAGGAGGTCATGGCTCGTTTCTCAGTCTGAGCACATGCCCGGACTGTGGGCTCAATCCCCAGTGTGGGGTGTGCAGAAGGCAGCTGATCAATGATTCTATCATCATTGATGTTTCTATCTCTCTCTCCCTCTCCCTTCTTCTGTGAAATCAATAAAAACATATTTTTAAAACTCACTAATTCTTGTTCAGAAAATTATTCTTCAACCTCATATAGGCCTTGGTAAGAATTTACCAGATACAATAATGAAAATAATAGTGATGTACAATTTAGTGTGGACTTTCTATAATTCAAGCATGGTGCTGGGAGCTTTAGATACGTTAGCTCCCCTTCCCCCGCCCTACCATGATATTCTTCCCATTTATAAGTGAAAAAATTGACTTTTAAAGTAACTGGGCTAGATGGTACAGCCAGAATATAAACTTTCTGATTCTAAAGTCCATGTGCTAGTTACTATGCTTTACTGACTTCAATGAAAATGACATTTGTACATTTGGAACATTTTAAGTATTTTTGAAATCAATTTTAAGGTTTAAGGTCATTAAATTGTTCTATTCAGAGAAAAATAGCCTCTCTAGATTATGTTAAAGGATTATACTGCTTATAATTCTTTTTATTCTCTGCAGATTTTTAATGGCCAGAAAAAGGCTAGCATAATGCAATAATTGCCTGAATGTTTTCATATTCTAAGTATCCTAGGTTCTACATGCCTGTCTTTCTACTTTAGGTTGACCCTTAAAACTGTAAGTGATAGACAATTAATTTTGTTATGTACAGATACCAAGGCATACAAACACTAAAGCGTGCTTACAAACATCGAATAAGAAAACATTCATATCGATAAAATATGAAATAAGAAAACTCCAAGCTTTAAAGGGCCTTTGTTTATAGTTCAACAATATTCCTCTAAGACAATGCCAAACACTAGAGCGAGGAGGAATACGTGAGGCAGAAGTTGTTGACATATGGGGTGTGTGTAGAACTTCTGGTTAATGGAAGTTCAAGATGTATAAATAAAAAATGATGTGTGAGTTGGTGGAAAAAACTGTAAAGCAAGTCAATTTTTTAATTAAAAAATTATGTAGCATAAACAATGCTAATGAGCCAAAAGTCCCGTGAGATTAGGACTGTATCTGCTTCGCTTTAACATTCCGTTCACTTTTCGTAAGTGTACTTTCACTCACTTGAAATACCTCAAGCAGAACTCTTTTTGGAAAATAGAATTTTAAAGGTTCTCTTTGTCCTTGTTCTTAATACTCATCATTTTCTTCTTAAGTTGTCAACTTGATGATATTAAAAATAAATAAAAGTCCCCAAATCCTAAATGAATAACCAAACAATAAATACCTGGAAGTTCCTCATAAATTTCGTCATCAATTGGCTGACTGCCGACTGGTGAACTGCTGGATGGTAGAGGATGATCAACATCATCATATAATTCTCCTCCTTCTTCATCCTCCTCAGGGATAATATCAGATCCCATATCTATGACACAAGTTTTGGGAAGCAAACATCTTGAATGCATAATGCCATTAAGCTCATGAATTCTTACTTGTTTATGACTTGTAACAAACGCAGAAGAGATTTTCAATACCCTATTTCCTAAACGAATATAGCCCTACAAAAATCACAATATCATTATATGCTATATCCTTAACTTAAAACATTTAAAAAAAATTGATTTGTGCATAAATATGGGAATTTCAAATTGCCAATTGGAACTTACAGAATACTTTTATAAATCTGCGGTCAATGGTCTGTTATTAATACCAGTCATATTCCCTTGGTCATGCTCACAAATTCAATAAGCTTTTGACATACGAAAATCCAAATCCTTCAGGTACTCAGTGTTTAAAGGCTGCAATAACTGTTCAATTGCTTGCTCTTACCTTGTAATACAAATTTCAGCTGCTGTACCCATTCTTCGGCATCTTTGGGAGAAGTTGCGGTGAACTAATAAAAAAAAAAAAAACAATAACAAGAAAAATCACCACAGCAGAAACGAAAGAATGTCCCATTCTTATCATTTCTTGAAGACCATTAGTAATTCTTTTCATGTCTAGTACTACTTTTCTTGCAAGGATGCTTCTTATAATGTACAGTTAATTTTGACAAATTTACGTAATTGAAGCAGAGGATGATGGATTTGAAACTCTGATCAGCAGCTGGCAGCTGTGCAGGAAAAAAAACTGCTTCTCTTCATCAATGTCAAAGACAGAACTGATGAACAAAATTTGCCCTTGACAATTAGAAGACACCCATGAATTTCTTTAGACTGCCGGGTACAGTTTTCTTAAAAATGTTCTTGTCAGATTCCAACACACTATCTGACAACTTAATTAACTGGCTTTCAACTGCAATCTCAGATATTTAAAACTTATTAAACATACATTCCATATTGATGCTCACTGATAGCTCCTGAATTGCAGAGCTGATCCGTGCCCTTCCCTTCATTTTCTCCCACAACCCCAACCCATGCAATCTGCATTAACACTCTGATAGTTTCCTCTTGATAATTTTACCCTTTCTGCTACGCAATTCTTTTAAGAAATCACACGGTTCTATTAAAAGAGACATAAAATGCAACATGTGAGGTAACTGATAAATTACATATTCGCTTGCTTTCTTTCAAGAAGATATCACTTGAGCCAATCTGAATTTTTTAAAATGTATTACCTCTTCTATGAATGTTCAATGTATAAAAACCAATATTTTTTATTATTAACATGTCAGGGAGAGTTGTTTCAACAAAATGTTAATGTCTTTATAAATGAAATCAGAACATTTTATCAACTTAATTTCAAAACAACCTAGAAACTCTAACCTGATAGACACGTTTATCAGGAGCAGCGATTTCAAAGCAGCAATCTTTCTTTGCATCCTTCCTAAGAGTGTTATTCATCCTGACATGGTAGCCATCAATTGCAAATTCACCTTTCTGCTGTTTGTCTGTGGAAGATAAAGTGAAAGTCAAAATTTCATTTGTTATAATTGAGTACAAATGGCCAATTATCTTTTATTTAGATTTTCTTTGTCAATTCTGAAAGTCATTTTTGGTAATATTGCTTTTGTAATATAATGCTTAACTACATAATGTTTCTAGATGTCACTTTTAATTCTAAAAGCACATAAGTATTTGGGATGGTTGGCTTTAAAAAGGATATATTAGTGAACTGGAGAAAGAGGTCTGAAGATAGTGGACTTATTCAGAAGCATTATGGAAATAAGACACTTTTATGTACAAAAATTTCAAGAACTGGAGCTCCTGAATTTCCTCTACATGCCTGTGGATCTTTCAGACGTGGTAAGCCAGTGGGGAACCTGACTAGATGAAGATTGCTAGGCTTTATTTCCCACTATCTCTTCTCATACCATCCTCCTCACCACCACCCCGAAGCCTCTAAAATGCAAATTTTCTTTTAAAAATTTCCTAAATTCACATGAATTAAACTCTAAATTTAAAAAACAAAGCAGAATAGAACAAAATTAATTATTAAAAGACGTGATGGAAAAACAAAGTGTTTGGATGGAGAGGAGTGGTAAAGCAAGTAGAGAAGCACTAGTTACTAAAACCAAACCAAAGAAAGTAGGTTTCTTAAGCAGTCAGTGAACAATTACACTAACAAAGCACGTTTGAATCTCATCTGATGAAGTGTCAAAAGGAAAGACCAGTTGAGCTTCAGTCAGATATTAAAGAAAAATAAAGCAGGAATACAACAATGGATTTGATACTCTGATCTAATAAAATTGGTTTTCCTATTTTACACAGTTACGTCATTTTCATAGAAAAGCTGTTTATTTCCTAGATTATGCCCTAGTGTAAGTAGTAAGGACAGCTGTCTTCCTTACTGAGCTCAGGGCAAATATAAAAATGCTTCCAATTCCTGGGGTGATGGGCTCTCTCAGCTCAATGTATCAAATAATATCTTCTTTTCTTAAATATACGAATTTAATGCCTGAAGTAGCATACGTTTTTATTTTATTTTTTTAATTTTTTTAAAATTTCTTTATTGATTAAGGTATCACATATTTGTCCTCAACCCCTCATTTCAATCCCCCACTCCCTTAGCATACATTTTTAAAAAGTTATTGGGATTACATCTTGTTCAAAACATCGAATGGAAAAATCATGAGTTAGCAATTCCTGACTTAAATCTGGACATTCTAATCATATTTATTCATAATTTACATCTCTTTGGTTAATTGAAGAAACAATTCAGATTCAAAAATTTGAAGTTTGCTTTGTGAAGACAGTGTACAATGAACTCAGAAAATTTCTAAAAATTGATGCAGCATTTACCAAAATATGCTTTATGGGATATGAATAGGTTTCTGTGATCAAGTACGTTTGGGAAATTCTGAATTAAATAAACTTAAACAGGATTTGTTAGTGCAGGCCTTCTTGAGGTCCTTAATATATTCACATATTAGTTGACTTTCTAGGAGAAAGATTTAGAATGCAGCAGTTCCCAAAATTACTTGTCCATGGAACCCTTTTTCACAGAACATTTTATGGAATGGTACTCCCAGGACATATTTTGTAAAGTACCTAACTAGAACAATAATATTGGGGAACAACAACAATAACAATAATAATAAATGGTTAAGCACAGTTGGTTCTTCTAATATTCTCAAAGAAGACTAAGTCATTCATCCACTCATTCAACAAATTTATACTGAACACTTAAAACAAGTGAGCTAGCATTATAGGTAAAATGAAACAGAAGCTAGTAATACCTTACCATACCTTTTCTGCTTTCTCATTGAAACACACACACACACACACACACACACACACACTCACTTAATACAAATTTAAGTGCTCGACCAACATTAATGACCCACTAGACTGTAAATGGATTAAATTTTCACTACAAGATATGGAAGTAGTCAGAAGCAACTTATACCTAGACCTATTCAGTTGATCGTTGAGTATTAGAAAATAAATAATCATATAAACATCTAAGTGGGGGTAGGAGTATAGAACCAAAAAGACTGAAGAAAATGGAGGGACATTCATTACTCTTTCTCAAGAGCTTTTGCAAATCCATAACCATGAAGTAGCCATATTTCCAATTAGCCAGTGTGAGATAGGAAGCTCAAGACACGAAATGAGCAAAATATGGCTATGATAAGACCCTGGTCTTCTTTCACATCAGCCTCTCTTTGAGACAGAAACAAAGGAGAAACCTTAGCATCCAGTGGCAATTCTTAATAATTTATAAATAGATTAGCTCCCCAGTGCAGGGATAGTTTCAAGGTCACCTGTTGACTTGAGGCAAATTGTTAAAAATAGTAACGCAAGAGAAATACGGTCATAGAAGTTCATCTACCCAGACTTTAAAAGATGCATAAAGTATTTCACTTCAGTGAACTTCCCAAATATCAGAAGGTTATTCCTTTAAGTGCTCAAGCTCTAAAATGTTAGTAATTATAATGGAAATCTTTCTGAAGTATGTATCTACCCACTTCTCAAACAATTCTTTTAAACATAATTTAACATTTCCTTGATGATTTAGTAGTATTAACTTGAAAGTTATTTTTTATATTGTTACAACTCATCAATGCCCTCAAGACTTTTTAGTTATTTGTCCCTCTATTAAATTTCCCTCTGCTTCTATCTCACACTTTAACCTTGCCTATATCATGCTGTTGGAATTTAATGTCTATAGAACCAAAGGCTGCCAGGAGAAACCTAGATAATGAAATCTATTAAATCAGTAACTTAATTTTACACAATTCTAATTCAGTAGGCTCAAGATAAAAAGCAGGTGGCTCTGATCTCTTACAAAACAAAATACGTGAGGTTGATGATAGCTATTTCCTTCTTCTTTTTTAGGTTTACAGTTGTGTACTGGGTTTTTCAAGTGTCAAAAAAGACAACAGACTTTTACTGAGCTCCTTCTGTATGCCAGGAATTTAATGGAGTCTATCTCCTATACACCCTGGAATAATTCTGAGAGAGAGGAGGTCTTTATTATATCTCCAGCACTGATGGGAAAACAAGCCTGAAAGTAACCAACTTGCTCACTGCCACACAACCAGGAAGTGGTAAAAGCAAGAACCCTAACCTAAGTCTGATTCCAAAGCCTTGCTGGCACCCTGTCTCCTGGAACGGCGTTTCTCAGGACACAGGTCCAGTATAACCTACATTACAATCATGTTGGATGCGGGTTAAAGATGCAGACATGGCTACCACTCTGCACGTGCTATCTAGGCGGTTCAAGGAAACCAAATTTTTGACAAGCACACCAGGTGCTTTTGATAGACATTTAAAGCTTGAAAAACGATTGTTCTAGAATCTAGACCAGGTAATTAGGAAGCCTCAGTAGAGAAGATAAACATTATCTTGCATTTCCTCTGCAATTTGGGTCTGACGTCCTCAGCTGCTTTATGGGCTCCTCTCCCGGGCCCACCTCTTATGCAGCCAAGAGGGTTGTGCTCTAAATCCCCGTCTTCCCCACTTCCCCACTTCCACTGGGCACAGCACCTCATCCCAAGGATTAAATTCCTATCAACATGCTTGTGACTCGAAATTCCCATGTTAGCTCAGCTTCAGAGCTGCACATTCAAATCTTCGTCTGCTCACTAGTTCGTAAAATGCCCTGTAGGCACAATGATATACCCTGCCCACGATGGAGATCACCTTAAGAAAGAACACTTGGGATCCTTCTTTTCTGTCCTCCTTCCAGTAAGTGGCACCTCCATTAACGGAGCCACCAAACCAGAAAACTAAACATCATTCTCCATCCACTGTCCCCATGTTTCCTCTCTCCACCCACCTACCAAAATCCAATCAGTCCTCTATTTTTCTTGCAAATATATTTCCTTTTCTCTTCTTTATTGGCTCTCAGAAAATATGCTTAACACACCAACTACTTTCCTACCATCTTACATACAGTATAAACATGACTAAACTATGCCGAATCACGCAGCATTCCTGTAAGTAGTGGGCATTCGCCATTTGCGGATCCCTGGAACCCTGGTAGCTTTCCCATGCTAGTCCTGGGACTGTCAGGGCACAGGCAGCTTCCCCCCACAGATGCCAGAATGAGGTAGATTTCCCCTGATCCGATCAGCCGAGCTGATACTCCAGCCTGGGACCTACGCCTGGAGTGACAGAAAAATCCGAGGGAGCTCAGAATCCATCCTTAGGGCAGAGGCACTCACGACTGGAGCAGGTGCACAATGGCAGCACCACAGGCAGCCGTGTGTCCCGGCAATGTGTTTCCCAGAGGCCACGCTGGGGCTGAAGTCCTGGCCATCTTCCCTCCCTTAGTCCCTGGCTGCTTTCTCAGCCTGGTTGTTTAGCCTTCCCATCAATTCTGTCTGAGAGTTGATATTCTCCCGATAATCTCCTTTTCTATGTCGCTGAACAAAGTTAGTTTCTATTGTTTTTACCAAGAATGCTACCTTGGGACAAATGACTAGGGAACAGAAAGATATGCAATGTGTTCAGAAATTTTCGATATCTGCTTTTTGTATTTGAGGCCTTTCCCCCTTATGGATAACTCATGCTATTTCCATAAGTATTAATGCTCACTTAATTAGCAGGCAAGAGGAAAGTACATACCTTAATACTAAACCCTTCCAAAAAACTTTACCAAACTGATCAACAAATTGTTCTAGGCCCTCAGTTAAAGACATAGGGACATTTTCCTTGTTGATACAGCTCGTAGACATACAGCTGCTCATGTTAATTCAGCAATATATAATACTTGTGGTGTTTTGAGTTATACTGAGAGGAAATATCAAATTATGTATGTTTTTTATTTAAAGGTCCCAAATGGCTCTGAATAATAAACACAGGTGATATTTATGAGCTCAAAGGGAAGCATGCTCGTTAGAATTGAGAGTTTGGCTCATATGATCTGGTAGAGGAAATTTTAGGAACTTCCCAAACATTTTTATTTCTTTAAAATAAAAATCAAGTGGTTGTTTTTTTTAAA